CCCCCCCCCCCCAACCTCTAAGTCTAGAACAATCGGGGAACATTCCACTACCCAAAGCAATTGTTTGGGACGGTTATGAAAAATGGTGGCTACAACAGAAACTGGATTTCACCCATAACTATAACTATGCTAGTAACAGCACTATAGGAGTTTCTACTCTTTATGCTACTCAAGCTCCCTTGAAAAAATAACAAGAGAGAATTAATATATTGTGGTCTTTTTTGCCCCTTCCAAATAAACTGCACAACTCAAACTTTGCATAGCCATATTCAATAAAGAAAGTGAAAACAAAGGTATTTTGAATAAGAGATACTTTTAAGGGATCCATAAAATGTGAGTGGGAAAAGAAGCTAATTTTGACAAATTATTCATTGAAAATGATTCACTTGTCTTTGATGAGAGCAAAAAAAGAATGACAGCAGGGATAAAGTTTATAGGTTTACTGGTGTCAGCTGAACATAGCTGTATGTCAAAAAGAATGAATGATAAAAGCAACAAGGCAGAATATTAAAATGAATATCTATGGGGATGAAAGACAACAAAGACTGCAACAGAAGAAAGAGAGAAGGCATGAAGAGAACCTGCTTCTAGAGTGCACCAAAGACTTTACCACTTTCCTTTATACTTCTTAATACGAAATAATTTTTAAAAAGAGCATAACAACAGGCAATACCAGTCAGTAGCTGTTAGCATGGTCACAGGCTATAAAACATGTAGGTTGGGAGCCATGGCAAATTCATGGCAATTCTATCTAGGTCTACTAATATGGTACCTTACTTTTACAGGTGTTCCTTGCCAATATTATCTTGCACTACGTTCACCTGTACAATGGTCCTTGCCTGCCTCAGCCATGCTGAAATACTGTTGCAAAGAAACAGTACCACAACTGACTATCTCAGAAGGTAGTGTTGTTAATTCAAAAATAGCTCTGCAGCATAACAAGAAAAGGGTAGGAAAGCCTGACTTCTTTGAAGTCAAACAAAGCTGGTCACAGATGCCACTAAAACTAGAATCTTATCCAAGGTATCAGCTGGTGCATAAAGTAATCAGCATAAAATCCAGTATCTGCCAGCCTTTGGAAATGCTCAGTCCTGTATTCTCCACCAACTAAAACTCACAGGGATTTAAATAGGAACATTAGTTTGGGTTATAAGTGGTTAAAACGCTACTCATTCACCAGCAAACAGCAGGAAATTGCTTTTGATAAGCAAGTAAAATATTCTACTTTCATATAAAGTGTGGGCAACTTGATATGGTGCCTGGACTGGTAGATGTACAGGGCAGTTTTCTATGGCTGTGGTACAGCATATCCAGAAGGACCTAACATTCCTGATAATAAAGAACTAAGCAAGTACAGTTCAGACCAGTATATGACACCGATGTCAATGAATATTAACCTGTGATCCCCCAAAAAATCAACCTTTTGTGAGTGAACAAGGGAAAGAACAACTAAGGAAAACTGAGAGAAAAACCTAAAGAAGTTTGAGATATAGGTACTCCAAGCAGCTTTAATATTTGCTTGCAGTGGTATTTTCATTGTCATCCTGTTTTAATCTAACATGACAAGCTGAAAAGAAAGTGTTATTATACACCAGCTCAGAAAGGAAAGCAGAGGTGTCACACAGAGAATAGAAAACACAAATCACAAAATCATCCGGTCAGGTTATTCAGTTCATTGCTAAAAGGGCCAGTAGCAATATTCTGAGGTTGTGATGGCTAGATTACCATTCCCAAGCCTGGCAGCAGAGCTGTACTGTTACCTAGTGCATCCACAGGTGGCTGATAGAGGAATGACCTTCAGGGAAGGTTAGCTGTGAAATAAGCAGGGATAACTCTGACAACTAAGCAGTAACTGACCAAGCAGTAGCAACAACACCAGGATATGGTGGGGACAGCAGATGAAAAGTTGTATATATCCTTTGATGGTGATGTGAAAAGGTGAGTACAGGTCACCACTATAATTAGCCTGCCCAGCCCTCAGCCATGGGTCTACAAGTCCTCAATGGCAGAGCAGGTGGAAGAAGAAGAATCTCAACAACTGCAAATGCAGATGAATGCTGCAGCAGAGTGAGATCTCCAATTGTCTTTGCCTCCTTTCCATTGGATTTAGGTCCCATTCTGTCAAGAATTGTGTGGAAGCTGATGTTCAGAAGCTTCTTCATGATAAAAGAAATCATATACAGGCATCTTCCATGAAAACAGTTTTTCTAACATATTTTTCAAGCCCCTTCATGATCAGCTAGTGATGGTGGGAGCAGGATTGTGAGGTATGGAAGCTCCTAGTCAGGAACTGGCATGAAAGCTGAAGTTACAAGAAGGCCATCTAGCACTTGGATGAGGCAGGAGTGTGATTCAATTCCTGAGACCCAGCAAGTGGGAGATGGGCAGCTTGAAGAACTTGAGGACAGGTATACCTTCTTCTGGAAGGGGAAGTAGTAGCGCTGTATGAAGCTTCAGGTGATGATTCAATTTGGAGGATATACGGCCTAATTCAACAGCCCAGTCTCTGAATCCAAATCGAATCAGGAGACCAATAAAAAGGTCCGAAAAGATTTGAAGCTCTCCGAATCGATTCGGAAAAGATTCGAAAAGCTTCGGAGATTTGGGCAGTCCCCACTCACTGCCACAGGGAGCTGAACCCAGACTCTGTGCCAGTAAGTGGGGGAGGTGGGGATAGGACCATAGGATGGAGCGGACCCACATCAGGCCCCATCCTCTGCCTGCTCCCCCAGCCCCCCTGAGCACTCCCAACCCCCGCCCTCTCTCCCAGCCCCACCCCATGACTGCCCTGCCCAGCCCCAGCTCCCGGTTCTTTAAAAAAAACAAAAAAAGCCCCACACTCACTGGCTGCTGCAGTGGCTGTTGTGACTTCTGGGGGCTCATGGCAGAGCCCCCCAGGCAGCATGGGGTAGTGGGGGGCAGTGGGGATCGCTCCCCACCCAGCAGCAGCTTGTGAGTGGGGGCTTTTTTTTTTTTTTTTTTAAAGAGCCAGAAAGCTGGGGCTGGGAAAGTGGGCGGGGGATGGGGGCTCGTGACAGAGCCCCCCCACACAGCATGCAGCAGTAGGCAATGTTCCCTCTAATATGTAGCAATCCGTGAGTGTGCCATTTCAGTCCGTGAATGCTCCACTTTGGTCCGTGAGTTCCCCACTTCAGTCCATTCCCAAATAGGTCCCACCTCCCCTTTTTGGTGCACACCGCTTCGGTCACTGCTTATTTGTGTGTTCTTTCCCTGCATTTATGCAGTATTCATTTTATTTCCCCTACATTTAATTTCCTCTACAGTAAATTAATGCTAGAACCAGTACTGTGCATTTTGTAACCATGAAGATTCCTTTTAGGGTCATAACTCAACACAATCAATTAAATGCTGGGTTTTTTCATTTCTATATCATATATAAATAGTAAATATAATATATTTATAAAATATAATATATAGTGTCCCGTTCTTGGTGTTCTCGGTATTTTACCTGGTAGCTGCATGTGAAGATTTGAGGGGATTTCTTGCATTTTCAGGAATTTACAAGCAACTTAGTTACATACATCTTGATGCAGAGATGGGTCAGACTAAGAAGGATCTCTCTCTTGCTGAGGAGGCAGCTCCCCCAAATGGTAGCTAGCTTACATCAGCCCTGCCCCTGCCTAGCCTTGCCTTGCCTTGCCTTGCCTTGGGGAGCAAGGAGGCACATGGTCTCGGAGCTGGGGAGCAGAGCAGTTCTCTGGAACTGGTGGAGCAGTTCCCCAGTGCCAGTCCCCAGCCCCCACCTCACCTCGGGATCTGAAGAGGCACTCTGCCCCAGCCCCAAACCTAGCCCCTGTCCCCGCCCCCACCTCGGGGATGAGCCACTGCCTCTCCCATGTGAGGAGCTTACCTCCAGTAAGTGTCCCGTGCTGGCCTGGGTGCCTCTGCGATGCTCTCTGCACGCCCAGCTCCTCTCTGGGTGGGCGCATGTCATTAAAAAGTTTGTGCATGGCAAGATTTTAAATTGTGTGCCGTTGCACATGTGCACAGCTTAGAGGGAACCTTTGCAGTAGGGGGCAGTGGGGATGCCCCACCCCCACCTGGCAGCAGCTGGTGAGTGCCGGACTTTTTTTTTTTAAAGAGCCAGGAGGCTGGGGCCGTGTGGGCAGCCATTGACAGGGCTGAGAGAGTGGCCAGGGGATGGACCCTGTTTGATTCAGAGATTCGGCCGATTTGGCGGCGGCTGAATCTCCAAATCAGATTCAGTCAAATTGATTTGGGACAGTGGTTCAAATCACCGAATCAAATCACTGTCCCCTGAATCAGCCGAATCCAAATAAGAAGTGAATACTAGCTGGTTCACACAGGCCTAGTAAATAGGAAGGAAAACACAAGATTCATTGAGCTGTTTTTGCCATCAGGAATGAATTCATAAACCAACTCAATGAGTTCCCTATCTGAATTAATGAGTGCCTCATCATGACTCTCCCATCTTCAACTGGCAGCGAGCCAACATGCCACTGTCATCAGTGTACATGCCCCAACTTTTGATGCCATTAATAAAATCAAGGAAGCATTCTATGCCAACATTGACCAAGTCCTTTTAGCAGGGAGACAGACTTATTCTTCTCTTCCATGTCAACAGCAGAGTTGGAAGGGACTCAAACCTCTGGAATGGAACAAACAACAAGGAAAGAGTAGGAAAAGTCAACTCCAACAGCATCCTTCTCTTAACCAAATTCACGGAACGTGGATTCACCATCACCAACACCATGTTCCACCAGAAAAACAGGCACAAGAAATCATGGCAACACTCATGGCATTGGCACCTGATTCACTACATCATTGTTTGTGCTGAGGATCACAAAGATATCCACAACACCCAAGATATGCTGGTATGCTGGGAGCTGATAATTGCTAGCAATGTTCCCTCTAAGGAGTAGTGGTCCATGAGTGTGCTGCCTCGATCCGGCGTGGGACACTTACTGAAGGGGGCTGAGGGCTGGAGCTGGAGCCAGGAGGCTGGAGCTGGCAGCCGTGGACTGGAGCTGGGGGCTGGGGCCAAGAGGCCAGGGGCTGAAGGCTGGATGCTGGGGCCGAGAAGCTTGGGGCTGGAGGCTGGAGCTGGGGGCTGGGACCAGAGGCTGGAGCTAGGGGCTGGTGCAGGCTCCACCGGCTCATGGCGAACTACTCCACTCCCCCACTTCACCTACAGCATCAGGGCTGGGGAGCGGAGCAGTTCCCTGGAGCCAGCGGAGCCTGCACCAGCCCCCAGCCCCAGCCTCCATCCCTGCCTTGCCACACATTGGGGAGGAGCCGCTGCCTGCCCTGAGTGAGGCTCTGCTGGCTCTGGGACACTGCTCTGCTCCCCTGCATTGCCTCAGGGAACAAGGAAGCACATGGCATCAGGGCCGGGGAGTGGAGCAGTGTCCCGGAGCCAGTGGAGCCTCACTTAGAGCAGGCAGCGGCTCCTCCCCAGGGTGTGGCAAGGCAGGGATGGAGGCTGGGGCGGGGGGCTGACGCAGGCTCCACTGGTTCTGGGGAAGTGCTCCACTCCCTGGCCCTGATGCCACATGCCTCCTCGCTCCCTGAGATGAAGCAGGGGAGCGGAGCAGTTCCCCAGAGCCAGCGGAGTCTGCGTTAGGCTCCCACCCCCACCTCCCTTCACAGCTTACCTTCATCTCCTCTCCTGGTGTGAGGCCTTGAAAAAGCTGTGAGTGGCCAGACTTTTAGTTGTGCACGGCCGTGCACATGCGCACCTTAGAGGGAACCTTGATTGCTAGACCAATCACAGACTCATCCACTGAATTATGTCACTCAAACCAGTTCCCAAATGAAGGCTGCAACAGAAGCAATGCCAATGAAAGATCAACGTTGAAGGGCTCAAGGACCCAATCAAGTGAGACATCTTCCATCAGTGCCTCAATGAAAACCCAGCATATTCCAATCAAAAACAATAGGACAATGACAACAGTGCTGGGAGCGCTTTCAAGTCCACCACCATCAGTACTTCCAAAGAGTCATGTGGCTTCTCTACCATGAAACATAAAGACTGGTTTGATGTGAATGACCAGGAGATCCTAGAGTTGATTGACTGCATGTGCAGGGCCTTTTGTGCTTGGCAGAATGACATCAACTACAAGCAAAAGAAATTGAACCTCCAACAAGCCAAAGCAGAGGTCCAAATGATAATCCACAATATGAAGAACAGATGGTGGGAAGACAAGGCAAAGGAGATTCAGCATCTCACTGACATCCACAATTTGTGAGGTTTTTTAATGCCTCCAGAGCCATCTACAGTCCAAGCACACGGGGACCAAACCTCTTGAGACCTAAGGATGGAGGAAGCCTGATGAAGAAAAGGGTTCCAATCAATTCCCATTGGATGGCACATTTTGAAGACCTTCTCTATTGAGACTCTGTTTTTGATGAGAATGTGCTCAACTCTATCCCACACCACCAGTCAGAGATGATATCAGAATATCTCCAAACCTTGACAAAGTGAAGAAAGCCATCAAGCAAATAAAGAATGGTAAGGTATCTGAAGCTGATAGAATCCTTAATGAAATCTTCAAGCAGTGGAGGGAGGACCTCACATCACAGCCCAATGCCCTCATCCTAAGAATTTGGAATGATGAGGAAATCCTGTGTCACCTCAGGGATACCATTACCATGACACTCTTCAAGAAAGAAGATAAGTACAACTGTTGAAATTACAGAGGAATTGCCTTGCCGTTCACCATGGGAAAGACCATTGCAAGAATCCTCCTGAACCATCACCTTCCACTTGCTGAAAAGCTCCTTCCAGATCTCAGTGTGGGTTTAAAGCATCAAAAGATACAACTGACATGATGTTCACTGCTCACCGGCTGCAGGAAAAAATGCCAGGAAAAACATAAACCTCTCTACATGGCCTTTTTGACCTTATGAAAGCCTTCCACTCTGTCAACCAAGAAACACTGTGGAGGACCCTTCTGAAGTACAGGTGCCCACTGAAAATTATTGCTATTCTTTGCCAGCTCTGTGACAGTATGCAAGTGATAGCTTTCAGTAATGGATCTATCACAGATCCCTTTGAAGTTAAGTTGGGAGTTAAGCAAGGCTGTATCATCACTCCAACACTCTTCTCAATATGCTTTGATCTGACCACCAACAAGCTTCCAGTCAGAGTGGAGCTAAAATACCAAATGGATGGTAAACTGTTTAATCTCAGCCAACTCCAAGCCAAAACCAAGATCACCCTGATCTCAAACATCAAGCTCCAATACGCCGATGATGCTATAGTCGGTGCTCACTTCAAAACAGATCTTCAGTCATCAACATCTTTACTTAGGCTTCAAGAGAAGCTGATGTTAAACATTCAAAAGACTAAGGTCCTCAATCAACAAGTCCTTAACGATCAGTGCCCAGCTCCAGTAATTCACATTCATGGCAAGACTTTGGAGAACATTGAGTATTTCCCATACCTCGGAAGCCCTGTCTCGCAAAATGTTGATAAAGAAATCCAGCTTGCCTCAAATGTGAAAGCACAGCTTTCAGATGCCTGAGGAAATGGATATTCAAAGATCATGATATCAGATCCAAAACCAAACTCTTGGCTTATCAAGCAGTTATGATCCCCACCTTACTGTATGGAGCCAAGACATGGACAACATACTGGAGACATCT